AAGGAGCTCAGTCACGGTATTTTGAGTTATTTTGGCTCTGCACAAAATTACCTTTAAATTAAAGGAAAACTGAAAATAATTGTTTACTAAGATAGAAAACACCAAAGAGATAATAATAAACCATAAAGGAATAAGTAAGGTTAAGAATGGAGAGGATTAACACGGATTACAAACGACGAACTTGAAATATTTAGGGTAAACTTTTCAACCAGGGCAAGAGAACAAATCTAGTTAGTGACAGGGTGAAGAACTGACCTTGGAAACTCCGAATTACAAAATTAGCACCATAAAAACACTCAGCGACTCTGCATCCGACTATTTAAGCAGTTTGACTTTTTAACGTAATTAAATATAGATAATATTTTGATTCAAGTTTATTCATCCCTAATCTTAATTGGCAACACTTTTTCAAGTGGTACTAGGCAGGGATGGAGAACAGTAGGTCTAGAAGGAATAGGTATAGGTGGTAGTATTATTTTGACCTGAAGTGTGAAAAATCCTCACAAAGTGTGACAGGATCGGGGGGGGGGGGTTACTCCCTTACGTGGGCTATATAAGCATGTGCAGCCCCAAAGGGTACGGTATTTGATCCGTTTTGGTCATAGACAGGGTATCAATTTTGGCCATTCTAATCCCAAATAGGATATGGTTTTTGCACATGCACACTAGTCTTGAATTGGGAATGATTTTTAGACGAAACTACTTTTTCATCATTATCGATGAGACCATCAACAAAAGCCCTTCACAATGCCTTTAACATCGGTCTGAACTAGGGAACTTATTATAGGGCAGGTCTGAAACAGGGTAGTGATTTAAGGATCAGGTCTTAAATAGGGTACCGAAGTTTTGGCCAGGTCATAGGTAATACGGTAGGGAAAATAGCCGATTTTGGTCATAAACAGGGTAAGGGTTTTGGGAAGCGGGCAGTACACTCTTACCCAATTTTTCTGAGAGTACCCCCTCCATTTTCAGTATAGCTTGGTTGGAGAAACTTTTCTCACCTCGTTTTTTACAGATGTACTGCCTCTTGCCAGAACATGAATGTTCAAACCATTCTCCATTCTTAATAAATACGCAGTTTGCCCCTCTCCCATTAACAATGTCAGTTTTACTAAAAATTGAGAAATTATACGGTGTTCCATCGCTCCAATGAAATTCGTCTTCTTTTTCCTTATCATTGAGTCCAATCCAAGCCCTTTCCTTATTATCAAGAAGGAAAGCTGTATTTATGAAGCTATTCTCTGCAATGCTCGTTATTGACACGAGGTCTGAGTTTAAATCCAGGCATTCTTGTCTAGCGTCGTCCCAGTTAACTTCTACTTGAAATGCTTTGTAGCAGTGGCTTTCATATTGAATCCAGTCTGTTGAGCATTCTGTAATTCATGATCAAGAGCAAACAGCAGTTGATTGAGGAAGTAGATACGTCAAGAGGACTTTCTCGTGTACCGTGCTCAAGGGGGAGGGGGAAGGGTGGAGCCTTGAAATTATTCCTTCAAGCAGACCAAGGCTTTTCGCAGAATCATTCGAAGGTGAATTGGAAGAGGAGGAAGAATAAAGGATAGAATAATATAAAAAGCATCCTCAGTAATTTTGTGAACGGCCTTTGAATGAAAAATAATACTACAAAAAAAAAAAAGACGTTTAAGCTCACGCCGATGACTTACACTCATTCAAATATTTAAATTTCTCCCATTTAAAGTTAAGGTTTCTTTTCTAGTTCAAATGCGACAGCATAATTATTTAAATAGTTCGCAAGATATTCAAAAATGCAATAACCAAGAGGGCGTAATGAGCACATCATTATAGTGTCCGAAAGCGAGGTTAGAGAAGTTTAACTTTGCTTGAATTGAAAGCATGTCGTTCGAATCACAACAAAGCGTCCGTTGTCAAAACTAACTGGAGTTCATATTAAGCAGTATAATACTGTAAAGATCAGTCAATCAATCATATTTTTTATTGTGCACTATTTACAGAATTTTAAAATTGAC